CCCAGAGGATTGGCTGTGCCGTGGGGAGCCCCCTGTGCAGCTCGGAGGGGACTGGCTGGACCTTTTAACATCATTATGGGGGCTTTTGGTTGGGCTTGTTTTGTTTTTATTCCTCCCCGAGAGTTTTCAAACAGAAGCGAAAAGAAACTTTTGTTGAACTGTGTGGGGTCATCCTGATGTTTTCAGTCTGTCACTTCCAGGGGGAGATCTTTTTTATTTTTCTTTTTTATTTTTCTTTTTTATTTTATTTTTTTTTTTAATTTTTTTTTTTTAATTTTTTTTTTAATTTTTTTTTTTTTTAATTCGGGTCGGGAAGGGATTTGACCCCTCGGGGGGGGGGGTCAGAAATCTCTCTCTGTGTTCCTCTCCCTTTTCTTTTCTATATACATATATAGTGTATGTATATCCCACTCACCTATACCTACATATATGTATGTATATACATAACCAGATGCAACGTGTGGCTTTTTTAATTTCGTTTTTTTTCCCCTCCTTTCTTTTTTTTTTTTGGAAAGGCAAAAAAAAAACTAAAACAAAACAAAACCCGAGCTCGGAACGGCGACTTCAAAATGCATTATTGTAAAAGTTTATTTTTTTTAATGACGTCTATGATGGAGAAGACAAAATAATAAAATAAACCGAGACCAACAAAACCCAAGGAATGAAAACAGCCCCCAAAAAGCTCCGATGGAATCTGAATTTTCTGGCCCAAGGGGGGTCACGAGGGGGGGGCCCCTTCAGCTGCAGGAACACAAAGAGATTTTTGGGTCAGCCCAAATATTTTTGCAGCTCTCCAGAACAATTCCCTGCCTGTTTTGCTCCGGGAGACAAGCAAACAAGGAAACATTTCAAAGGAGCTGACACGTGTGGCAGGGAGAGGGGGGTTTTTTTTTGTTTGTTTTATTTTTTGTTGTTGCCGTTTGGGTTGGTTTTTGTTGCTTTTATTTTTACGTGCAATAACCGTGGATTTGAAACACCATCCTCTCGCCTTAATGTTGTTTTTTTGGTTGGTGGGGGGGTTTTTTCCCCCCCCTCAAGAGGACCTGTCAGCGCTTTAAAAACCGAAGTGAAACGTCGAGATCTGGGTCAGGCAAAGCAGCGAGTTGCTCCATTTTTTTTTTTTAAATTTATTTATTTCAGGTTTTTTCACACTTTGCCGCTCCTGTCAGGCGGCGGAAAACGTCGGCTCCCATCCAGCTGTGCCCCTGGAAAAGGGGGTGTTGGGCACCTTGGGATGCCACAGTCGTGGAATCGCAGAATCCTGGAGCTGTTTGGGTTGAAGGGACCTCAAAAATCATCCTGTTCACCCCCTTCCAGAGCCTGGGTTGCTCCAATCCCGGCCTGGGACGCTGAAAATCGGAGTGGAGGGACCTGCTGGGCTGTTTGCAGGGAGCTGGGGCCGCTGGGGAAGGGGAGGGATGGGTGAATATTCCCTTTTCCAGCGCGGAAAAAAGCGGAGAGGGCTGAGCCGGGGGAGCTGGCACGGGGAAAATAAACATGGCACGGCTCTCCCGGGAGCTGGGGGCAAAACCAGGCTGCTCCTGCTCCTGCTCCTGCTCCTGCTCCTGCTCCTGCTCCTGCTCCCTGCCTCCTCTGACAGCTCGGACCCTGTGGAGCAGTTTGGCTCCCAAAAAACCATTCTGGCACGGAGAGGGGTGGCTGGGGGGGCTCCACAGCCAGATTTGGGGTCCTTCGTGGTGGGGTGACCCCCGACCATGCAGGGTTTGAAGTCTGAGCTCCGTGTTTCCGTAGGGAAGAGGATGTAAAACACAGCGTGGATTGTTCCTCGGGGTGGTGGCTGGATTCCCGTCTTCCCTGAGAAGGCTGGGAATGCTGCAGGCATTGCTGGGAGGAGGATGAACTGCTCTGCCAGGCAGGGATTCCATCCATCACCCCTGCCCATGGACCACCTGCATTCCCTGCTCGGGATTGTCCATCCTGCATTCCCTGCTCAGGATTGTCCATCCTGCATTCCCTGTTTGGGATTGTCCATCCTGCATTCCCTGCTTGGGATTGTCCATCCTGCATTCCCTGCTTGGGACTGTCCATCCTGCATTCCCTGCTCAGGATTGTCCATCCTGCATTCCCTGTTTAGGACTGTCCATCCTGCATTCCCTGCTCGGGATTGTCCATCCTGCTCCTGGGAGCTCCCCGGGTTTTCCAGCCTAAGGAGGCACCAGCAGGAAGCAAAAAGCTGTGGATGAAGCCGAGTTAAGGGTCCCTCCTCGCTCTGGGGGGTGTTCTGGTACTGCTGGGCCCTCTCCGAGCACGTGCCAGGGACAGGACAACACCTGGAGCTGCTGGATGCAGCAGGATGGGGATGTGCCATTCCTGGATGCAGCAGGATGGGGATGTGCCATTCCTAGAGCTGTTGGATGAGGATGTGCCATTCCTGGAGCTGCTGGATGCAGCTGTGTTTGGGATGAAGGCTTTATCCGTGATAAGTGGGACACCTTCATCCAGGTGCTCGAGCTCTCCCAGCAAAGCAAAGCTCTTCCAGGTGGAAATGCTGATCCCAGGGCTGGGACACGGAGCCTGAGACGCAAAATCCCAGCGAATTATCCTTCCCAAAGCTGTGCCAAGCCCTGCTCTGGGAACACAGAGCCTTTCCTGGAAGGAGGATGAGGGAGATGAGAAGCTCTGGGCTCCTCAGGAAGCTACAAGGACTCATCCTGGGGGATGTTAATGCGGCGTGGAAAATCCTGAGGCTCCTGGCAGAGCCATGGGATGTGCAGAGGATTCCATTTGCATGGAGGTTTTTTTTCTGGGAATGATCCTTTTAGAGGAGCTGTGTGGGGCTGGGAGTCTCTGGCCCCTCTCAGCCGGAGCCAAGCCTCGGCTCATCTGGATTTAGGGATATTTGGGGACCTTCTGCGGGATGAACTGGGGATTGCAAACGGCAGCGTGGATATCCCTGCTCCAAGGAACAGAAACCCTGCTCCAAAGCACAGCATCCATGCTCCAAGGAACAGAATCCCTGCTCCAAAACCCAGCATCCCTGCTCCAAGGAACAGAATCCCTGCTCCAAAACCCAGCATCC